CAAACTAAATTTGAGACGCAACGAGTAGACTGCATTTGTATATCTTATCTACAAAACCCACATTGTAATGTCCCTTTGTTGGGATTGGTTGAATTATGAATTAGTTTAAATTGACTTATTTTAAGTGTTTTAAGTTAGAATAATTTTAAAATATTTATGTAGTTTCTATATCAATAAAATAAAAATAATTAGAAAATTTATTTTAAGTCAAAAAGGTAAAAATAAATAAAAAATCATAATTAAAAATTAAAAATTCTGATTTATAAACCAAAATCTATTGCTCAATTTTGACAAAATTTTATTGATAGAAAATACGGTGATAAATTGCAATGATGTAACTCATGTAAGCACTATCACACCCCTTCTTCCCAAAACCTCCGGGATAGACGGAGGATTTTTTTATATTAAGAGAAGAGAAGATAAATGAAAGATTAAAAAGTTTTTTCAATTAAAGTAATAGTATTGAAAAGAAATTATTTTATTTATTTAGAGTCATTATGTGAAACTGGGTGTCGGTTTTGAAATCGTCTTTTTGAATTTCTAATTAAGAGAAAATAACTTATTATTTTGGTTCGTAAATTAAAAATAAAAGGTCAAGTATGGAATTTTGTTTGGGCACCCCTCGAGTCTAGTGATTTTAACACGCTTTATCAACTTAAACTATCTTATTCTAATTTTGGATAAAATGTGTTACATTCCATATCTAATTGTTCGTATTTTTATTGTTAAACTTTTATTCGTTTCAATCTAAATGCATCACCACATTCTTGATTTTGACATACACCAATTTAGAGGCATAATTATCTTCTTGTGTGAGTACATTGCTCCTAAATAATCTCTATCTACACGTCATGATTTAAATTAACAAAAGTTAATTACTAAGGAAATTTTAGCCAAGATACATAACCTCATATATTCTTAATTTTTTAAAAATATCTATAAAAAAAATGCATAACTACATTCTTATCAAAACAAGATTTAATCGAATATATACTTATCTAATGTTGAAAGCTCTATATATCTTGACATTTGCCTATTGAATTGTTAATGACCATACGCAAAACTCTTGATGGTTCTCCCAATGAAAACAACATGATAATAACAAAATTGAGACATAATTCTTTCTCGTTTCTACACTTCAAAAGATCTCAGTTAAAATAATTCTGCTAACCACAAGATCAATACCTAGTTAAAGCATATAGAGCTAATCAAGTACAATGACTGAAGAACAATTAGATATTTTACTTTTAACTTGACTCCAAATTAATCGGTGAACTAAATTGCATCAAATTAGAAATGCAACTTTAATAATGAGCCAAATTCAAATTCAAGATTTCACTATTTTAATAAGTAATTTAAATTTATACAACTCATATAAAATCAGGAGATAAAAGATTTAAGATAGAAATGACTTTTAAATAAGTAAGAAATAATCACATGTTATATCAATTTTATTGTAAATTTAATGATATATGAGGTTCAAACATATTTCAATATTATAATGCTAAAGTGAAATACATATATAACTTGAGCAAATTTCACAATATTGAAATCAAGTCTTATATAATTATGAAAATTAAGAGTTACTTTTTGTGAAGATTAATTCACGAAGAGAAAACGGCTTCAATAAGAAATTGCGAACTCGAAACCGAATATTAAACGTCATTCTCCAACTTAATTCTTATAGTCTTTCTCTCTGCGTTTTTTTTTCCTACTCTTTTTTCCTGCTCTTGTGCGTGTGTGTTGTTTTTTTTCTTTCCTAAAACGAGAGTGCAACAATGTGATTATGATTTGAAATAATGAGCAAGAAAGTTTTAAAATATTGTGTCCAGATGCATGGTGTGTCCCTCTATGTTTGTCGTGTATATATATCCCTTGTGTGTGCGCTGTTATATATTGATATCTTTTAGTCATATAATTTAGTATGGTCAGTCAGACATTTTTTATTAAAAAATTATGTTATGTATATAAAAAATTATATAAGTAAAATATTACTTTTTATATTAATATATATTAAATCTTGAATACCTTTAATAAAATCTCAAATTTCGCCATTGCTTTTAGTATGAGAGAGTGAATTGGTGAACGGAGAGTTGTGCGGGTTAGAGTCTAATAAAAAAAATGGTGCCTTTTTTGTGTGAGGATGAAATGGGTTTGAGTAAATATTTATGTGTGTGTAGGTGATTTTGGAGTGGTCAGCCACCCAAAGAAATGTGCCAGTGAGAGTATTGGTGAGTGTGCGTAAATGAGAAAGAAAATGGGGGTAATGTTAGAGTTTGGAGTTAAAAAGGGTAAAAAAAATGAGTAAATTTTTTAAAAGGACAACAAAATTGAGGATCAAACCAATAGGGTAACATTTGGATAGAAGAGTGGATGTCGTTAAATTGTTGGTCGTAAGGTGTACACTGACATGTGCCAAGGCACATGCCAGTGTGCGCCTAACAATTGCAACATTAAACGTTTAAAAAATATTAATATTTCTTCTCCATTATTTATTCAATCGTTTTGTTGTTGTGTTTTCATGTTTATTTTTAGGACAAATTACTTAAGTACACAACATTACTTTACCTATTCTCAATATTTCCCTACTCTTTTACTAAAATACAAAAATCCCTTATTTTCCCCCAATTCAACTTAACCGGATACTTTATTAGTTTAAGTATCCGCCCGTTATTAATTAAAGTATCCGCGATGCTATATTATGCATCCGCCCGTTAATTTAAGTATCCGCTCGTTATTAATTAAAGTATCCGTGCCAACAACTTAATAATTTAAGTATCCGCCTTTTATTAATTAAAGTATCCGCGCTGCTATATTATGTATCCGAAAGACACTAAAAAAGGGATTTTTGGTAATTAATGAAAGAGTAGGGATAGGAAGTAATTTCCTTCTTATACTATGTGATTTGCCTAATTTTTACTTTTTTTTATTTAATTATTTATATGTAAATAAAAATGTAAGTGATGCAATTAAGTTTAGGGAAAATTGTACATAATGGCAAACTATTAATTCAAATTAAATGGTATAACCACACTTTGATTTAATTGTGTCCTATAGCAAACTGTTTGTCAGCGCCTCTCTCCCTCAAACTCTCGCTCGCCACTCTCCTCTCTCGCTCACTCTCTCTGTGCTCGCCTCTCTCGCGTTATACACAAAAGTGTATAAATTGTGTTTCTGTTTGTATAAAACGAGAGAAAATTGTATATACACATGCAAATACATATATATTCGTCCTATACACTTATAATTATACAATAAAAATATTTCCCTGCCCAGTTCTCTTTTGTCTTTCTCTCTTTCTCGTTTTATACAACAGAATTGTATAAATTGTGTTTCTGTTTGTATAAAGCGCGAGAAAATTGTATATACACATGCAAATACATATATATTCGTCCTATACACTTATAATTATACAATAAAAATATTCCCCTGCCCAGTTTTATGCTTGTATAATGTATAATTTATGTTTGTCAACGATTTATACAAACGAGAGACTAACAACAATTTATATGTTTCTGTTTGTATAAAGCGAGAGAAAATTGTATATACACATGCAAATACATATATATTTGTCCTATACACTTATAATTATACAATAAAAATATTCCCCTGCCCAATTTTATGCTTGTATAATGTATAATTTATGTTTGTCAACGATTTATACAAACGAGAGACTAACAACAATTTATATAAATGGTCTGCCAGCGAAATTATACAATTTTGAAGAGGAGCCAACGAATTATACAATTGCTTCTTTTTGTATATATGTATAGCGAATTATACATATATATGTTTGCTATGGAGCGCAATTATGCAAACTTTGCTATAGCATACAAATATGATTTTTTTGTTTGCTATATGTGAAAGTTTCTCTTAAGTTTATGTTATGAATCAGCCTTGGCCCAAGGTCAATAACTGCACGGATGCCACACAACTAGTTATTGGGCCGAAAAGAAGCAACAAAATTGAAAGGCCTTCACCAAGGTTGATTTGGGACCCAAACCCAATTAGCAACTAGGTAAAAGAACGACGGATGAGAAAGAGCGATTTATGAAAATTGTTATGAAGAGTCTACGTTCCCTCGTCCTCTTTCTGAGTATCTGGCCTTATTTCCAAAAATTGCTATTGTGTAATTGGAATACCCTTATGAGTTTATGCTGAGAATTGGGTTCGTCCGGGTTCATTATTGTTTAATAGTTTTTTTTATATTATTTGATAAAATTGGGGATAAAATATAAGGGACATAAAAAAAATAAAGGACAAAACTCATGGACAATGCATATTATTTTAGAGATTATCTGCATCGACACGATTACTATTGTTTATGTGTATCCGTTCCATACATAATTGATACGTGTGACCTTGTTATTCTTCGAGGGTTGTTGATGTCCTGCAAATTTTAATTTATTATTGAATTGTTTATACTAGAAATAGTTGACCGTAAAATGGTAGTGGGTTACCCCCACCAACGCCCTTATAAAATCCCAGAAGAAAATTACTAACTCTTATGCTCCGATAAAATGACAATATATTTAAATGATTATAAATTTCATATTTTAAAGGAGAATTGCGTGTAAATATTCTTTAGGTAAATTTTGATAATATAAAATAACTTTTATTTTACACTAAAAAAATAATATTCTCTTTATTATATTATTATTATTTTTATTTCATTTATATTTTCAAAAGCATTATATAATATAAATAATAATAAAATAATTAAAAAGTAATTTAGTATTGATAAATAGTGTTACATTTAATTTGATGGGACATTATTTTCACACTAAAATAGTATTGAGTTGAAATCCCAAATTAGTAGTTTTACACCAAAATAGAATTTGGAGTAAAAAATTAGTGTTCGATGGGATATGGTGAGCGTAAAAACTTGCGCTGTCATCATATTTCCCTTTTCATTCTTCTATAAAATCCTCCCCTGCAACTCTCTATTTAGTACTCACTTCTTTTCTCGTGCCTAGTTTTAGTTCTATCTAGTGTTACAAATGGGAAGCATTATCGACGAAAATCGACAACCATTGTTGTTTGCCTCTGCGAACTGTTTGCCGGAGAATAAAATTGAAAGAAGGGAGGATGAAGATGATAAGGATCTGAAAACAAGAGTATGGATTGAAACAAAAAAATTATGGCACATCGTTGGCCCAGCCATCTTCAGCCGTATAGGGACTTACACGATGAACATTATTACTCAAGGTTTTGCTGGTCACATTGGTGAAGTTGAACTTGCTGCTATCACCATTTCTAATACCGTCATTGTTGGCCTCAGTTTTGGTCTCATTGTATGTATCCCCTCAACTTCTTTCAAATTTCACACTATTATTTTTCTTTATCTCCACACTTATGATGAATTGAATCTTATTCGTCAAAAAATTATAGGCCATTAAGAACTTAGGATAAAATTGTATATGAATTGTTAAATTCTCGTTACGTAACATGAGAAAAACTGATTCAAAAGTTGTTTTTGTTGGAAAACAAATGAACAACAGAAGCATTTCAGAAACTTACGACTTGTGTGACGAATAAATAGCATACACGTGTATGCTTAGAATACATAGGATTGTACCTATACTAGAACACATAAACATGCTGAAATTAAATTAAAAAATTATACCATTTGAAGTGTGAGCAAATATATTGAAGCAAGTCTGACTCTAGTACTACGGTTTTCTATAGTGATCCCAAATTCACATCCGAACTCTGTCAATACTAAATAGCATACACGTCTATGCTTAGAATACATAGGATAGTACCTATACTAGAATACATAAACATGCTGAAATTAAATTTAAAAATTATACCATTTGAAGTGTGAGCAGATATATTGAAGCAAGTCTGACTCTAGTACTACGGTTTTCTATAGTGATTCCAAATTCATAGCCGAACTCTGTCAATACTTGGATAAATATAGAACAGTACACTTATTAATTTTCTAGGTTAAGAGAACTTCTACTTATATAGAATAGTACACTTACTCCCTCTGTCCCTAATTACCTGTCCACTTTTGAATTGACACACCTATATTAAGAAAACAATTATTGGCATAGTGAGTTTACCATTTTACCCCTATTAATTTGAAGTAGATGAATTAAAAACTTAAGATTTTCAAAAAGTTCTACATTTTTCAAAGTAATTAATTGAGGGTATAATAGGTAAAAAAAATATTTGTCCCTTCTTGATTTGTCAAAATGGACAAGTAATTAGGGACAACTAAAAAAGGAAAAGTGAACAAGTAATTAGGGACAGGGGGAGTATTAATTACTAACAAATTTAATTCAATGATTAGTTTTTTCTTTAGAGCACTGCTTAACTTATTTCATGTGTCAAATTCATAAATTCACTTGCAAGGTTTGGCACCATGGAACTTATAAGCTTTTCAAAAAAGCAGATCATCAATCTTTGTATCGAGACATTGATTCCATCAGCTAACTTGTTATTTCACCAATGTATATTCTTGCCATCCAATCTATTAGGTATATTGATCCATCTATGAATTTCACCTATTAATAAATTATAATGATAATTAATGTTAATACAGTTAACAATTTAAAGAATATATTTTTGTCAGTCAATTTAAAACATTTATCTCTACTCGATCTCGTTCAACACATACAAAATGTACTAGCACATGAAGTTGAACAACATTTTCCACATAATCAAGATAAGTTATATATAGTCTTTACAATCATACCGATAGCTCGTCCAGTTTTCATCCTAGATTGTGAACAAATTTTTTATACTTATAAGTATTTGTGATTTAATCATTTGTGTATAAGCTAAAACTCTATAAATTAAATCATCTACTATATATATAAATGGACATATAAACGAATATATGAACCACTAAAACTTTTATTAAAATCGTATAAACAATTGTTCAATAATAAATAAATGGTCAATAATATATATTCCCCGATTGATAGCGTATATTCCAACAATCTTCTACTTGAACTTTTAACTAGCATAAATGTTATTATAATACTATATCAAAATGCATTGTTATATGCTAACAATTTCAAACTGAAATGTTTAATTTTGACAACTGTTAGAGAATACTATATTTAAACACTCTCATATGATTAATAATACATAACCTAACAATTTTCAAAGTTACAAGTGTAAATTTCATGTATGACACTTTTGCATTGAATTCGTAACTTTGTCACCGGCAAAAATTAGTTACAGTAGCATTGAAGAATCTTAATAGCTTGACTATCAGAACTTTTATGTTGGTGAGAGTTGATTTCCTCATGCTCTTCAGTCTTCCCCAATTTTTTATTTTTCTTTTTTAAAAAAAGTTATAAGTGGCAATCCCTGTTCTATTCCATCAATTTCTTTCAAATTTCAAATTTCAAATTATTTTTCCGTAACTAGAAAACAGAGACAAAAGCTCGATTGAATCTTCTTCATCAAATGTAGTTAGGGATGGCGAGTGCATTAGAAACCTTATGCGGGCAAGCTTATGGAGCAAAAAAGCACCATATGTTAGGAATATACATGCAGAGATCATGGATCGTTATAACCCTCTGTTGTATCCTTCTCCTTCCGATGTACATATTCGCTACCCCAATTTTAAAAGCACTCGGTCAACCAGACGACGTCGCAGAGCTTTCAGGGCTAGTGGCGTTGTGGTTTATTCCACTACAATTCAGCTTCGCTTTTCAATTTACGATACAGAGGTTTCTACAGAGCCAGCTGAAGACGGCGGTTATCGCCTGGATTTCACTAGCGGTGCTGGCGATTCACACGGCGATTAGTTGGTTGCTTGTGTACAAATTGAATTTGGGGATAGTCGGAGCCGCCGTCGCACTGGACATATCGTGGTGGTTGCTGGTTATTGGGCTGTTTATATACGCCGCATGCGGTGGGTGTCCAGAAACGTGGAGTGGGTTTTCGATACAAGCATTTTCGGGACTTTGGGAATTTTTTCGACTCTCCGCTGCTGCTGGTGTCATGCTTTGGTAATTTTAATTTAGTAACGAATTTCGTCACAAATATATGAAACGTGTCCTTAATTAAATAAGAACTTGAAAAAAATGAAGACGAGTCAAATTCTATCTGATTAATTTTTTCTCTTTCTAGTTTGGAGAACTGGTACTATAGGATACTGATATTGATGGCGGGGTATTTGCACAATGCGACGTTGACTGTTGATGCGTTATCCATCTGGTAATAAATATTCAAAATTTATTTTAGATAATAAATTATTTAAAAAAAATAATTATCAAATCAAACATGTCACAAAAAAGGATACTAGCGTACAAAAGTAGAGAAAATGATCAAAATGGTCTTGAACTATAAGAATTGAAGTATTTTGATCCTTTATATATATCATCTCATCCAAATAATTCTTAACTAATGCATATGAAAAGAAGATCATTTTAGTCCTTAGTCCTAAAATTAATCAAAAAAATAAAAAAACTGTTAAATTTAATAGTGGATCGCACAACATGCCAAACTTTTTTTTTTAAAAAAAATAATTAAAAATTAGTAAAACCCCTTCTTCCTCAATTTGTTTTCTTTCACCATCACCATGGCACCTTGCTTCCTCAACTTCTTTCTTTCACAAGGTCATACTCCGTATCCTTGTAAGAAAAATAATACACACTACATTTGTTTCTTATCTTTCGTCAGAACAAAAATTTGAACAACTCCTATTTTCTTATAGACGAAGAAGAATAAAATCAAGATCGCTAAAACAAATGTGAATCAAGTAAATTAGTTAAACGATTCCATTTCTCCGTGAGATCACCATAAATAAATTCCTTTTAAGTTGTAACTAATTTTCTTTTTGTTTTATCCTTTTCAAAATTATGAGTATTTTTTTCCAGCATCTTTATTCATTCCATTTTTCAAATAAAAGGATTAAAACTGAATGAACAGAGCTAGAAAATAAAAACCTTAAGAAACTTTGTGTCTGTATGAGAGGATTTTATCGGTGGAAACAAAAATAGATCAATTGAAAATTGTAAAAAAAATGGTTGAAGAAAACTGATGGAGGAGAAGAGATTAGTAAGAAGAGGGAGGAAGAAAGGTTCCACCAAGTGTGGGACCCACTGTTAAATTTAACAGATTTTTTATTTTTTTTAGTTTATTTTAGGGCTAGGGATTAAAATGACCATCTTTTCATAGACATTAATTAAGGACTATTTTGATGAGATGATCACTTAACAATCTAATATGAGTTTCACGTGCAATACTTTTCTTTGAATGACATTCTTTTATTTTTATGATTTTCTTTATTTCCTTTTAATTTCTTGTTGTATTTTTGGGAGAATTCTTTGCAGCATGAATATTAATAGTTGGGAGATGATGATACCACTTGCTTTCTTCGCTGCCACCGGGTAATTTTTTGTTATATATATATATATATATATATATATATATATATATATTTAAAATAATATATTCTCTTATTCTCATTTTAAGTGTTCTATTATCTCTGAGCATATGTAGTAATAAGATATTAGAGATTTTTTTAGTTTAATAGGATTGATAAGTCTAAAATTGTATTGAAAATGAGTATAAAAACCAATCGGAGTGTGGTGGAATGATAAGTATTTCTTCATCATTAACCACATGTCTTGAGTTCAAATCCCCGAGGATACATTTCCTTTATTGGAAAGTGTTTTACCCACAATTGAGCCTGAAAAATACAAACATACAAGACTAGGCTAAATTCAAATTAAATCTTAGTTCTACAAGTCTATGTATCTACTCGTTCATTTCACACTTGTGTGCATATATTCAAATTTACTAGACTAAAGTCGCTAAATTAATTTTCCAGCGTACGAGTGGCGAATGAGCTAGGTGCTGGAAGAGGAAAGGCCGCAAAATTCGCAACAGCGATATCAGTGATATACTCTACATTAATAGGGCTAATATTTTGTGTACTAATAATGATATATCAAGACAAATTTGCTCTATTCTTCTCATCAAACTTTGATGTCCTAAAATTTGTCAAGAAGATCTCTTACCTTCTTACTCTTACCATTCTTCTAAACAGTGTTCAACCCGTTTTATCCGGTAATTACATTAATATTTTAAGAATTTAACATATATATATCAACGATCTGTAATTTTTTTTGAGTAATAATATAGAAATATGCCTTGTTTGTTACAGGAGTTGCAGTTGGATCAGGATGGCAATTAAAAGTCGCTTATATTAACCTAGGTTGTTATTACCTTGTTGGAGTTCCTCTAGGAATTCTTATGGGTATGTTTCTCCATACTGGTCTTGAGGTATGTTAGTCTCTTCCTTTCTTAGTACTAATTATTTTCTATTATTGCACTAGAATTATGCCTCCTAGCTACAATTGAGTCGGTTGTTTGTGTACGTAGGAATTAGACTTTAATAAGTAGAATTGCTCATGATAGGACACTATGTTATAGCCAGCCATCAATGCGTTAAAACGTAAACTCATTCATTATATTTAGAAATCTTAAGAAAATAATTGTGTGACAATATCTATTATAGTTTATTATTATTTGTGGTTATAACTTATAAGTGAAAAATGGAAATTATAGGGATTGTGGGCAGGAATGATTTTTGGAGGAACAACTTTGCAGACGATAATATTGGCTTTTATAACGTATCGTTCTGATTGGGAGAAAGAGGTACTAAAGTATATTACTGCAGCAATTTAAATTTTTTTCCTATGAAAATGCAAACTTTTAAAACTTGTTTTTCCATTTTATGAATTCGTAAATATCTTAATAATAAGAATAAATATAGTTGTTCAATTTTTTGGCAGGCAAGAAAAGCTAGAATGCATGTTGAAAAGTGGTCGGAGCCACCTCCAGTTAGTCAATCATAGATGATGATTTTCTTTATTTGATCAAGAGCAGTAAAGTAATAAATAATGTATTTTGTGTAAGATTAAAACGACAAACACAACTACTAATAGTTACATAGATCGAGAACACCTATGAAATACACAAAAAGGATGTGCGTACCTTTGTCTGCCGTAGCAACGAACAGCTGAATACAAGCTAGGCTGGGTCTTCCTCTCCTTAGGCTTATGATGGTTGGCACCTTATGGGAATACGTCTTTTCGCTTAAGCCAGGAGAGGAGATCTAACCTCATATTTATAGGTTTAAAAACCTTAAACCTAGTGGGCCTCCCCATTACGGACCCACATGCCTTCAACATGCATACACTATTGTCAACCCACACATATGACATGAAATAGATACAGGCCCATATGGAATCCACACAAATATACGATCTGTGTCTTGTCCAACCAATATTAACATTCAGCTCGTTTTACTAAAACGCAATAGTAAGTTAATGTTAAGTCCACATTTAATAAATAGTTCTAACATTCTCCCACTTGGACAACATTAACTTAACTAAAAAATATAAAAATAAAGAAATAAATATATGTTTTATAAAAATGACTCTCGAGCTGAATAGACAGTGGCCATAGACATATAGTGATGGAACGCCATTTCCAACATGGTTTAGTCAAACAAAACCATCAATACCGAAATGCAGTAGTACTTGAGTCACTCAACAACACAAGACCAGTCTACAATTACTGACATTGAAGTTAAGCAGACATAAACCAAATAGTGTGGTAGTGTAGCAAGAAATAGCTAACATGGACTCCAATCGAGGCTATTTCATTGTCGGTCCTTCAAACGATTTTTCATAACAACATGTACGCTTTAAATCAACATGCGTACCATAGAAAAATCGTCACCGTGATTTTCTGTTTCAACATGTGTGAGCACTAAAACAACATGTGCTCCACCAGAAAATCTTGAATTTCAAGGTTCATCTTTTCAGTCACATCATTAGTAAACTAAATTTCTTAAAGGTCTTAAATGGTACATGGATGATGAGGATAAAAATAGCCTAACCTAATTTATTTGAGATTGAAGCATAGTTGCTTGCATTTATCATGATATTCGAATTATCTCTACTCTAGTTTTTTTTGTCTTAAACAAGAAGTTTAGAACATGGAATAGACCACAAATGAGCTTTAAATAACCTCACCTTTGAATTCAAAAACCATGGAAGTCTTTTCAACAATATGAACTTCTTCTTCTTTGTCGTCGTCATCATCATCATCGTATTTTTCTTCTTTTTTTTGTTCTTGTTCTATTTGCACGTACTCTGCATATTCTCTGTCACAGTAAGTTAAATCAAATATTGAAACTAGGGATGTACAGGCCAAATCGTAAAGTCAAACTGAACCAACGAATCAAATCAAATCGAAAAAAAATCAGGTTTGATTTGATTGGTTTGGCGGTTGAAAAAAAAACCAACCACTATTGATTTGGTTTGGTACTAAAAGAAAAAAAGTCAAACCAAACCTATATATATATATATATATATATATATATAAAATTTTATTTGTTAATATATTTTTAGTTAGTTTATAGTTTTCAATGTTTATATAATTTATTTCAAATTTGGGCTTGGAATTTCAAAACAAATATTTTGTACTCATGTGAATTTTACCGTCTTTTCGAAAACTTCTATTCATTTAACATTTTTTAAGTTTAGTTTATCACACAGGTAAGTGAAAATATATTTGATCTTTTTCTCAAACATCGTATAGTTGTAAAAAATCAAAAAAACTGAAAAACCAAAAAAAACGAAAGAATCGACTAAAGCCGAAACTTGAAAAACCGACTTTACGTGGTTTGATTTGCTTTTTTAGATTTAATAAACCAGCATAATTGGTTTAGGTTTTTTTTAAATGAAAAACCAAACCAAACCGACATATATACACCCCTAATTGAAACATCAAACTCCATGTCTCCTTTATGTCTGAAAACCAACAAATCTCACTACAACACAATCTATTTTTAGCTACAAAATTTAAGCTACAAATTCGAAAATCGTGGCTATTATTTAGTAATAGCTACAAAAAATTTAGTTTTATAGCTATTTAAAAATTAGTAAATTTTCTTAGCCACAAAAATTAATTTGGCGAAGTTAAATCCTCATTTTTGTTACAATTGCTAATAATTGTGGCAATAATTATATGAATAGCTACAACTTTATTGCTACAATTCAATTTTATAGCTGGTTAAAAATTTTTACCACAAAATAAAAGTTATTGTAGCAATAGCAACTTTTTAGCCACAATAAATTATTTGAAACAAAATGATGTAGCTAAATAAATATTTTTGCTTCAAGGTATAAAAATTTGTGGCAATAGTTAACTGATATAGCCACAAGTATTTTGCTATAGTAAAATTTTGTAGCTAATGATTAATTTTTGCCATGAGTTGAAATTTACCATAGCAATAATAACCTTTTAGCCACAATAAATTATTTAAAATAAATTATTATAGCTAAATAAATATTTTTGCTTCAAGTTGTTAAAAAATGTGGCTAAAGTTAATGATATAGCTATAGATTTACTGCTTTAATAAAATTTCGTAGCTAATTTTTTTGGGTCACATGTTGAATTTTTTTGGTATCAATGATAATTATTTATCCATAAAAATTTAATTAAAACAAACTATTATGGCTAAGTAAATATTTGTTTTGCGTACTAAAAAGCATGACAATGGTTGGTTGAATAGCTATAATTATTTGTCATGACGAGATGATATAGCCACAAATACATCATTGTGTTAAAATTTTGTAGCTTATAATTATTTTTTATCACGGGTTATAATTGTTGCAACAATAATAATCTTTAGCAACGTCAAAATATACCTTTCTTGCATCTAAATATAACTGGACTTATTAATCATTCAATTCAATTTTACACAGTCTTATTTGTAAGTTTCAAATATAGTTCAAATAAATAGTTAATTATATTTTAATTGATTTTAATTAATTAGTCATATCAAATTTAAACAAAATTTCTCGAAGTCTCGCCTTAAACTTCATCCCGATCAAGTGCTTCCATAATTATTATTTGTCTCAAATGTGTTTCATTGAAGTAATACATTTATCGATCTATTGTAATTAGTTGCGTCAATCATTCAATACAATTTAATTTTATATATGATTTAATTTGAATAAATAAGTGATTATATTAACTTTGATTAACTAATTATAGAATATTTAAACAAAACTTTAACAAGTCTACTCAAGCTTCATCCTGATCAAGTGATTCTAGAATTGTTATTTGACTCAAACATGTTTCATGAGAACATTATCCATCAATCTAGTGTAAATAAAGGTATTAATAATTCGATTTGATTTTATGGGCATAATTTTAATAAATAGGTAATGATATCTAACAATTTTATTAATTAATTTATCAAACTTAAGAAAAGGTACTTCACTAAGTCTCGCTAAAGCTCCATCTTGATCAAGTGCCTCAAAAATTACTATTTTTTTGAGAATTTTTCTTTGTAATTAGTTTTGTTAATCATATTATTCGATTCAATTCAATTTTACAATGGCTTAATTGTAAGTTTCAAATATAAATTAAATAAATATATGATTATATTTACTTTAATTAATTAATTATATCAAATTTAAGCAAAACTTCAATAAGTCACACTTAAGTTTCATCCTGGTCAATTGTTCTGAGAATTATGATTTGACTCGCGTATAATATTCTGAAATAATACAATTATCGGTCTAATTTAATTATAGCTGATCATCATTCATCTCAATTCAATTTTAAAGAATCTTACTTGTGAGTTTCAATTATAATTTAAATAAATAGGTTATTATATTCGATTATAAGTATTTTGATAATTTTAAGTTTACTCAAACTTAATCTATATTTATGATACCTTTGTGATATACTATTAGTTTAAATTAATTAATAATTTTTATAAATATAATTATAACTAGTTGACCTAAGAATTTAATAATTGAATATAGTTAATATTTTAGTGTATGTATACCATTATTTATATCTAATACAAATTAGTTTTAAATAATACTCCATTTGTTCACTTTTACTTATCACTTATTTCTAAAATAGATTTTAACTTTTACTTGTCACCTTTGACATATCATAAAAGGGAATAAATATATTATTATTTTTTCATATTTTACCCTCAATATTTTCTAAATTATTTTTCAAGACATCATTTAATAGGGGATAGTTTGGTAAAATGCCTATATCACTAATTATTTTCTTAATATATTGTCAAGTCAAACTATGACAAGTAAAAGTGAACAGAGGGAGTCATATATAATAATTTAATAAGTTATAAATAAAATGAGTAAATGTGATTGTATATCGAATATAGTAATATAATAGTTTTACGGTTTTACCTAAAGAAAATTAAAACCAAAGCTTCTTTTTTATGAAATAATGAGGAGGGAAAACAAATTTAAAAGAATTCATGAAAAATATCCCTCCAAATCGTTTCCCTCTATTTTTGGGGCCTAATTACAGCTTTCTTTTCCTATTAGAGAGCAAAAATAAAAATGACAAAAAGAATTGGAAATCCAAAACCCTAAATTCTTTAAACAGATCCAAAATCCATTCATGAAGAGAGGAGCATCAGATTCCTTTATCTCAAATTCAGAAAACAAAGGTACTGAATTTCTATTGTTTCTTTAACTTATATTTAAAAACGCTATGAGTATAATGCGTATTATACATTTCAGTTTTAATATCACTATGAATATTCTATTAGCAAAAGTTTCTTGTAGCACTTGCAATGAAAATTCAGTATGTAGTATGGGTTAGAAGCTTTTGATTATCTAATAAAAGTAAAACTTGGATGTGAATGTGAAGGATATTTAGGGGTGAAGATTGAAGGGTGTTAGGTTTGTATCTAATGGGCAAATTAGTTCAAACATATGTTTATATATTATATATGATGTCCAATTTATATGGTGTAGTTTGAGTACTTGATTTGATGTTTAAGAAACAA